CCCCAGGGATGACGGCCGGCGTTGGCTCGGCAGCCCAGCACCCAGAGCGATGGGGCTGCGGCATCAGCATCCCACCCGGGCATCCTCGCAGAGCACTGAGTGCCCACTGGGTGCCCACAGCCTGGCTGCAAGGCAGCCCCCCAGCATCCATCTGTGCTTATTTTGAGGTCCACGTCCCCCATCTGTGCTTATTTTGGGGTCTACGGTCCCCATTGTGCTTATTTTGGGGTCCACAGCTGGTCGCAGGCAGAGCCCCCGTGGCGGCAGGAGGAGAGTTGGCAGAGGAGCTGGTCCGTGGCTGGTGGAGGCGAAGGGCATCTCCCCGGGGGGAGAATTCACCTCTGCGCTTTGCCATCCCTCCTGCTGCCCTGCTGCTCCCCGTTCCGTCCCTCCACCGGACCGCGGCACAGTTTGGAGGTCGGGAGAGGGGTCCCTGTGCCGCGCTGTCAGCAGCGAGACCGGTGCGAAGGCCACAAGGTGGGCAACCTCATCCCAGGTGTGCATCCCCCCCATAGCACCCACTCCCCAGCACCTGCAGAGGTGCCCCGGGTGCAAATGCCCCTGTCCCGGCTCCTGTCACCCATTCCCCGAGCAACCGTGAGAGCAGAACAAGAGCAGGGAAAAACTGCTTATCAGGAGGGGAATACGGACTACAGGGAGAAGTAGGGAGGGAAGGCAAGAGAAAGGGAAATAAGGAAAGCGAGGGTGGGAAAGAGGATGGTGGGGTCGGCAAGAAAAAAGAGAAATAAGGAAAGCGAGGATGGGAAAGAGGATGGCGGGGTCATGTGTGGAGAACTGGGGTGACTCTGGAGAGTGAGACTGGGCAAGGGGGGCAGGTATCCATCACCCATCTCTCACTCTCCACTATCGCTATGTTCAGGTGGTCTGTGGCCAAGAAGAACCAGGGAAAGGTGCAGAGCAACGTGAACCCAAAACCCAGGAGAGAGCTCAAGTGCAGAAGACGAGAGGGCTGCTCTCTCCAAAGTCGCTGTTAACTCCAACCTTACTGCAGAACATCACCCTCCTGGAGCTGGGGAGCAGCTCACGGGAGTTATGGGATATCCTGGACAACCTGTCTGAGCGGGACCACGCTCCGCACCCCAGAGGACAGAGGGACTTGGGACCAGCCTCAGGCAAGCTTAAAAAAATTTTTGGCTGGGGAGATTTCTATTCCAATATCAAGACAGTGAAGTTGAACCTCTTGATCACTGGAAAGGTGGTGGATCACGGCAACGGCACCGTCAACGTCTTCTTCCGACACAACTCTACTGGGCAAGGGAACATCTCCGTCAGCCTCGTCCCCCCCACCAAAGCAGTGGAGTTTGACCTGGAGCAACAGATCTTCATCGAGGCCAAAGAATCCAAAATCTTCAACTGCCGCGTGGAGTACGAGAAAGTGGATCGTGCCAAGAAGACCACTCTCTGCACGTACGACCCATCTAAGACCTGCTACCACGAGCACACCCAGAGTCACGTCTCCTGGGTCTGCTCGAAACCCTTCAAAGTCATCTGCATCTACATCACCTTCTACAGCATAGACTACAGGCTGGTGCAGAAAGTCTGTCCCGACTACAACTATCACAGCGACGTACCCTACTACCCCTCGGGATGAGGCGCTCGGTCCATCGCAGGATGCCCCGGTGACGAGCGGGTGCTGGGGGGGGCGGGGGGAGGGACGGGGACGGTTTTGTAAGCGGGGGCGGGAGCGCGGCGGTCCCTAGAAACCAGAAGCGAGGAAGGAAGAGGAGGATTTTTCCGTTTTCCCCAAAAGCTCCAATGTCAAGAGGAGGAATTTTAGGTTACGGGGTACCGGCATCGTTAAACCTGGCCTGGATCTGTGGTCTTTAGGGACTGGTACGCGAAGGCAGGGTCTGAATCTGGGATACAGAAAATAGGACGTAAAACCACAATCAGGACTTGGGTTTCTCAATGCAATAATGGATTTGCCTGGATCTGGGCCACATGATCCTAAAAAGTTGGGGACCAGGCAAAGAGGGCTCCAGGAGCGGGATTACGCAGCCTGGAGCCAGGGGAAGACCTCGGGGGGTCGGGGGTGGAAAAAGGCACCCGATGCCCTCCGTGGCTGTAAGAAGTCCACAGGCAGCCACATCATCCCCCCCACGGCTGAATCCTGCAGCGGTGGAAGCTGGAGCCGAGTTTTCCCACGTCGGGATGCAAAGAGCTACCGGGATGGAAACGGGAAGCCGGGATGGGTGATGGGTAAGAGGGACCTTCGCGGGGGTGCCACCCCACCACGGCTCACACCGGGCGCCACAAGCACGGGGCTGGAGGGGGGACACACACACACAGTTTGGGGACTTGAAACTGGGGATCCGCAGGTAGAGAAATGCTGGTGGAAGGTGTCAAATCTTCTGACACAAGATGTGATTCATGTGTTTCCCCTGACACGCTGTGATTCACGCGTTTCCCCTTCGTCTCGTCGCTGCTTCGCGTCACCGCCGGCTCTCCGGCGCCCGCTCCCACCCCTCGCCCTCCTCGGTGCAAAGGTGCGTGCCCGTGTCCGTACGTGTGTGTGAAGTGCAGCTCTGACTGTAGCATTTAATTTACTTTGAAGGAAAAGAAAAAAAAAAAACAACCAACCAACCAAACAAACAAACCCAAAACGACAACCACGCTGTCCTTGACAGAGAGAATAAAGTTTTCACGGTGGCACCGAGGCAGGTCAAGTGTTTTTTCCTGAGAGCAATCTCAGTCTCCTCAGGGGAGGAGGAAAATAAACCGGTGGGGTTGTGGATGAGGCACAGGGCATCGCCTCGTCCCGTGCCCAAATTTGGCTCCGGTCAGACGCATCTGAACTCGCCCCATTAGTAACCGGGTGGTGGGTCCGGCTTTGGGGTCTGCA